GCTCTTAAAGGTCCCAACGAATTTTACACGCTGTTTTCAGAAACTGCTTTAAAACCATTACTAAAATTTGTAAGTCTACAACTGTACCTCATGGTGTCTCACTAATAAAAACAAACAAAAAAAAAGAGGCATATTAAAAAAAAAAACCCATTACTAAAGTCTGAAAAGATGGAGCCTGAAAGATTTCTTCAGGGCACATGAGTTGGAGTAGAGCAGAGCTGACCCTCTGCCAGGAGGAGGTAGACGTTTCTAGAATAGAATCGAGTGGAAGCGCATTCCACGTATTCCCCACAAGGGAAGCGTAGCTCAGGGTCAGAGGCAACAGCAGTTTCCGTACGGTCACTGAGAGCGTTTCTTGGGCAGAGGAAGAAGGATACTACCCATGTGGAGCTAACAGCAGTATTATTCCATGGATTTCTTTACTTATTCATTAACTTTGGTCTTCCCAGCAGTGCTGGGGCCTCTGGGTCTCCTGGCAGCACCGGGACCAACCAGACCAGCAAGTATAAGGTCTGAGACCAACAACACACGGTTGCTGGAGTCCAGCAAAGCTAAGTCACCACACGCCCCCAGAGGGGTTTGGGAGCCTCCAGGACTACACCAGGTGACGTTCTTGGGGTCCTGCAGTGCCAGGGATCAAACCCGAGGCCTTGCACATGTAAGACATGAGCTCAGTCTTCCGTGCCCTCTCTTAAACTACCACATATTTATTTAGTTTTTGGAGCCACACCTGAAATCCTCTGGGCTTCCTCTTGGCTTTGTACTCAGGGATCACGCCTGGTATTTGGGGGACCCTTCGGGGTACCCGGGATTGAACTTGGGTCAGCCTCATATAAGGCAAGCATCCTGCCTGCGTACTGGCCCCCATCCTAAATGTATTTATTTTTAATTTGCTAACGGCTAATGTAGAACTCCCCAGAAAAACTCTCGGTCAAAACAAGAGAACTCATAAAAAGCCTTTAACTTGTGGTGTGACTTGTCTGCCAGTGACCTTATGTGACACTTGGAATACACTCCCCACCTACCCGGAGATGCTTTTCTAAGCCATGGGCCCGGCTTTCATCATCTAACACATCATTCAAACCACTTCAATAAAACAGTGATCATGCTGAAGAGGGGTCTCAGAGGGCCAGATGACACTCCAATTAACCAAGCATATCAAGCCAGATTGTTCTCTGCCTGCACTCAGGAGACGGCCGTGAAAGAAAGCAAACGAAGGCAACGAGAGCCAGGAGCTGAGAGAAAGGAACAAAACAGAGTTGCTAAAGAAGCAGCTTGGGGAGAAACGGCGTTTACTCACTCACCAGTGGCCTCAATCAGGTTTATCCCGACTCTCTGGATAGAATTACAAGCCAGAACAAGCCCTTGTAGCGCACACACACTCAGGGAGAAAAAGAACATTCCAGATTCCAGGCCCTGCTCTGTAGGACTGAGGCAGGACACCGCATATGCAAAGCAAAGAGAGGGTCTATTTCATTTAGTTAATTAATTTTTGCCCTTCTTTTGGGGGGGGGGAGTCATACCCGGAGATGTACAGGGATTACTCCTGGCTCTGCACTCAGGAATTACTGCTGGTGGGTTCTCGGGGGACTATATGGGATGTTGGGAATCGAACTCGGGTCGGCCACATGCAAGGCAAATGCCCTCCCCGCTGTGCTATTGCTCCAGCCCCTCATTTTATTTTTTGTGACCCAAGAGCACCCTACTTAAAACCCTCCAATTTTTTTTTTTGCCAACCTCACAGTTTTCTTCCCATCTGCAAACTTCTGTCATGATTTCAGTGGCACCCAAAAAACATGAATCAGGTGATTCACCAAGAAAAGCAAGAGCGGGGCTCTTCGCAGGCCCTTCTAAAGGCAGGAGCTGAGCAGCGAAGGGCAGGAAGACAGGGATGCTAGTGTGAATGTGGCACAGCACTCCACCCCCTGAGCAACTCAGGGAATCTCCACCCTGGGGGAAACATAGCCCCAATTCCGTGCCAGGTGTCTTTACCAAGCTTGGCCATAAGAGCTGGGACAGCAGTGATGGTTCTAAGTAACTGCACCCCTGTGAAGATCACCCTGTCCACCAAAGGAGAGCCCGCCTTCTGCAGGTGGAACGGATACTCCAGGCAGGCCGATGCTTCTGGCCTGTTCAGTGTGGTAGCCTTGCTAGAGGCCCTTGATTCTTTCTCTTCTTTTCTTAGGCATTTCCACACTGATCCTCTCATGCAGGCCCAAGAAGTGCAACTGTGCGGATGGAGCCAGAGTACGGCAGGGAGGCTCCTGCCTGGGTGATCCCTAAACAGAGCCTGGGTAAACCCTGGGCATCGCCAGGCATAGCGCACCCCCTGCCCCCACAAAACCTCTTAAAATAAGAGCCCTCGCAAAGGGTGTCCTCCCCACTGTGAAGCGAGCCCCCTACCTCCCCTAGACATGGCAGTTACTTTCGTCTGGTTTCGGGACTAACCTCCTGAGAATGTGATACATTTAAAGATCTGAACTGAAAACCAAGAACAGAACCCAGAAGAAGCCACATCTCCCCATCCTGGAAGGCTGGTGGTCCCCAGGAGGGGCTGTACTCCCCCTTCTGTGTGTTGGGGGTAACACCCAGCACTAACCTGGGGCCACTCCCTCCCCCCACCTTTTTGTTTTGATTTTCAGGCCACACCCAGTGATGCTCAGGGCTTACTCAGATCTGTGCTCAGAGATCACTCCTGATGGGGCTCGGGGACCATATGTGGTGCCAGAGATGGAACCTGTATCAGATGCACGCCAGGAAAGTGCCCTCCCTGCTCTACGTTCTCCAGACCCGATTCTTCCCCTTCCTTAGGGCCATGTTCATCTTCCTCACTTCTCTCACTTCCCAGAGCTGCCTACACTGGCATCAACACGCCATCCCCCCATCTCGCCCGCAGAGGGGGCTCACTGAGGAGCCTGTTGGAGGTTACCAGACTCTTTGCTTGAGGCGTGCATGCACCTGTCTGTGACATTTATTTACTTTATTATTATTATTATTATTTTTTAAATTTTTATTAGCGAGACATCATGAGGTTGTCTGTGACATTTAACGGCACATTTCTGTGGACTGTGCATGGCTCTCCCCCGGGGATGGAGATATATCAGCGCAAGGACGGGGCAGGGGGAAAGAGGCCAGCGGGAAAGAGGCCAGCAGGAGCCCTGTCGCCTAGACTTCAAAGGACCCTTTGACTTCTGCATCCCCAAACCTCAGAGAGGGCTCAGGAGTTCATAAGATCAGTCAGAGGGCTGCTTGGAAGATGGCGGGAGTAAGAATTTGAGGTCCATGTCACAGGGTGTGGGCTGGTATGGCACTTGCGGAAACAGCCTCTGCTTTGGCCCCGAGTTTTCTTCTTCCTTGTTCCTTTATTATGGGCTCCCTGGGGACAGAAGGACTTGAGCACTTGGAGGAAAGCATCTGAACAATGACAGTGAAATGGTCCCTAAAGGAGTCCTAGCACTGCTCGGGCGATACAGACCTACTGTGCTTCCTACACTCCCTTCCCTGAAGATGCCAACAAATAGGTTCAATGAACTTTATTTTTGCGTTTTTCCTATAGTTCAGGGAAGTTGAGTCTGAGTAAATTTTCTTGCAAATTCAACTGCATTTATTTATGCACTGCAAAAACCAGACAAGTATTTGACAGCCACCACCCCCGCCATCACCCCGCCCACCTCACCCAACCAGGTAATAAAACTGTAATGGCAATTCTAGCCCTGATCTTATTTAAAGATGCCTTCCTATATGTTTCTTTAAAGTCTTTATATGAATCAATGACTGTGGGAAACAATTCTTGAAGCATAGCCGAGAGTTGAGGCTGTACTCTGCTGTAAAGCTCAATTTGGCTCTGATGTCCCTCTAACATGAAACGTGGGCCTTGCCTTGCAGGTGATGGTCACTGTGTAGAAACCTCAGCCTAGAGCTGTCATGGGGCGACATGTTGCACATTAGCTAAAGTCCATTCTAAACACAGCTGGGAAGAGTTAGGGCAATAAACGCACGCCCTTGAGACCCCACCGTTCTATCACACCCTCCCTCCAACATGGGACAGGGCTACACTGGAACCAGAGGGTTTGTGCTTCCCTTTGGGTCACGTGTGGCAAGGTGTGAGTTGCATGGGGGGAGTTGGGCTCTGGGCTCTGGCATCCCCGATGTACTGCAGTGCTCTGGAGACCGCACAGTGCTGGGGCTCGAACTCGAGCTGGCTGCATGCAAGGCAAACACGAGTCTATAACCCATGTAGACTGTCCCTCAGTAGTTTTTTTTTTCTTTTTAAACAAACATATAGAACCTATACAAATAGGTTGAACTTTTTCTTTCCTGGGCCTCATGCACACATGATGTGTGGTTTACTACGGGGTTCCATCTGGGACCCAGGGCTGCATCTAAGGTCAGCACCTTTGGGTGTTCTGTGGGCATTCCCACCAGATTTCACTGCTCAGCCAGTTCATGTTGTCTCTCTTAGAGCAGATTCTCCAGATTTTGTGTATATTAAAAAAAAAAAAAAAGAAACTCACCCAGGGGTGGGGGGCTGGAAATTATCCAGGAAATATGTTTGCAATGCAGAGTCTTAAAGATCTGAATTTAACTGGCATCAGGAATCTCTATTTTGAAATAGCAGAAAGGAGTCCCAGGATCAGGTAAATGGGTTAGAGGGGAAAAGAGAAATTTTTTTTTTTTTAAAAAGGATTCCTTGCATGCAAAAGGCATGGGTTGGATCTCCAGCACTGAAAAAAAAAAAAAAAGAAAAGAAAAGAAAACAAAAACCCAATACTCCAGTTAAGTTTATATAAGATTCCATGAGAAATAACAACTCAGGTGGGACAGTTCTCTAGCTAGCCAAGAATATCAAAATAAAGACTTCAGAGTTAAATACTGTGTATACACACACTTAACACGGGAATTGCTTATTTTAATAAAACAACAAAAACCCAACAACTTCATTCTCAATATAGCATATTAGTACAGACGTATATAGAAGCATCTGTTATTAAGCAACATACCTCCATGAAAGAGATTCCTAAGCTCCAGACATCAGAATGGATACCATACTGTTCCCCTGAAATTCTTTCAGGCTGTAAACAAAGATGGAAGCTTATGAGTCAATGTCAGCTGCTCGGGGAAATATGAAAACACTGAGCTTGAACAGGGTACCAGGCGCACTTGCAGGAGCACTTTAAGAAGAGCAAAATAAGTCTAAGTGTATGTCTACATCTCCTTTACATCATACACTCATATTACATATTACATATTAATATTACACTCATCACAAAGTGCCAGTGAGGAAATCTTTATAATTCTCTTATTCCGGAAGAAAGAAATTTAGAGCGATTTAGAGGAGAGAAATAATTTAGGCAAAATCCTAAACTAGTCATGAGCTGAAACTTGAACTCAGGTCCTCTACTACCAAGTTTGGTGGTGTTAGCTGTGGAGTTATAATCTATACACTGTGACCAAGTGTTTCCCTCTCAAATTGGACAGACGGATCTCATGAACTCAAGATTCATGTATTTTACTTGCAAGATTCATGTATTTTACTTGCACGATGAGACTGACACACTGCTAACTATATTCAGAAAGTCATTTCCCTTTTATATTTTTTAAAATTTTCCTCCAGAAAGAATTTCAAGCTTTAAAAAAAACTGAGACTTCAAGAAGGGTACAAAGAACATCCATATTTCCTTTTTGGCTACGATTCCAAAAAGGAATTTTTTTTTTTTTTGCGTTTTGGGTCGCACCCGACAATGCACAGGGGTCACTCCTGGCAGTGCTTGGGAGACCACATGGGATGCTGGGAATTGGACCCGGGTCGGCCGCATGCAAGGCAAATGCCCCACCCGCTGTGCTATTGCTCCAGCCCCTATGATTCCACATTTTATCTGATGGTAAGAAATAGTTAAAAAAGATCTACTTTTTAACTGCAGTAAGGTTACAGCAAGGAGGGCACCTGCCTTGCACACAGCTAACCCAAGTTGGAACCCCAGCAGCATATATGGTCCCCCAAGCCCTGCTAGGAATCATCCCTCAGTGTAGAGCCAAGAATAAGCTCTGGGTACTGCCAGGTGTAGGCCCCCCCGAACAAAATACAAGGCCAGTTGGGACAATTGGCTCTCTATTGAAGACAGGGTACAAAGTTCCTCCTTGCACCTTCTCTACTTCAAATGGAAATCACGTAGCTGGGAAGAGGGTATTGCCTAGTCTAGCCCTCCACGATTTGGCATATGGCTGGGTTTTCCCCCAAGACTTTTGAAGGTACCCATGAACAGATGAACAGGAGAAATGAATGTCTCGTGGTGCTGTCATGCTTGTGCCAGGTCAGAGTGAGCCTCGTAGGCCACTGAAGGGAGAATCTCCACTTGGGGCCCCTAAGGGAGAATCCTCTGATCCGGGTCCCTCCCCGGAATTCTGGAAGCCTTCAGGAGGCCCAAGTAGCCCTAAAGAGGGCAGAGTCCTGCACCCAGTGAGTGAGTCTCCCCAGGAAATAGAACTTTGTGACCTTCCCACTCCCACCTACTGGGTGACCTCATGGTCTCTGCTCCCTTCTCTGGGGACCCCTTTCCATAAAATTATATAAAGCCTGTCTGGGAGAGCAGGATGGATGGCCTTATTTCCCTGTTTTTATTTATTTCTTTAATTTGTAAAACCCCTTTCCTACCAAGAATAATTCTTCCCGAGGGTGGAATGTCCTGGGACCGTTTCTCCCAGCTGCATTCAGACAGACACGGTTATTTCCATCTCCAAAGACTTTTTCTTCTCCATTTGAATCCCCGCCATATCAGTTCTCAAGTTTTCTTGTTCAGTTCAACCCATTACTGAATGCTAGTGGAGATCCCTGGTACTGGGACAGACTCCTGGGGAACGAGCCAGCCAGTTGCTGAAAGAACGTGGCTGCCACCACGATCTGCATTCGCAGCAAGATCACTGTGTCCACATGGAATTTAAGAATTTTCATGGATCAAGTATCATTTGGCTCCTGGCATGCACGTCTTCCCATATACACCCTGACTAGGTGCTGCATTTTCTTCCTGAGCTGACACACGAAGGCAACGGCATGAGAAGTTCAGTTTGAACTCACTGAATAAGGACAGAAAAAGCCACAATTTATTTATTTGTTGGGTTCTAGGGCATGCCCGCTGGTGCTCAGGCCTTACTCCTGGATCTGTGCTCAAGGATCCCTCCTATAGGGCTTGGGGGACCATATGGGATGCCAGGAATTGAACCTGAGTCATCTGCTTGCAAGGCAAATGCCCTCCCTGCTGTACTAGAAGCCACAATTTAATGGTCAGGCCCATAAAAGCCACAGTTTAATGGTCACCCAGTAGGTTCTAAACACTGGGCTAGATATTTTGTAACCTCTACATTTCATAGTAATCTTGTAAGATCAATTACCACTGCCCTCATTTTATAGACATAAAAATGATGGCTTAATCAGATGAAGCGACTTGCTCAAATCTATAACCATGGATCAAGCCAACAAATAAAGTCAGTATCAGAATCATTGTTCTTGCCAGTGACTCAAACTGTCTCAGCACTCAGGTCAGAAGAGTCAGGTTCTGGCTAGTATTTTATTTAAAAGACAATCCTTTAGAAACTGTTTCAATTAAGCCACATAAGAGATACAATGTAATTTGTAGTAGAGTTTTGGCGTACAATGTTCCAATACCAATCCCACTTTCTGTGTGGACTTAAGAGAGGCTGAAGCATCACAGAACCGCCTAAGGAGCCACGACAAATGAACCTCTCGATGAACCTCTGGGGCTGGGGACATTCTTGTGGTGCTCGGGGCTTACTCCAGGCTCTGTGCTCATCTGTGGAGAGACTCAGGGAAACCATATGGGGTGCTGAGGATCGAACCCAGGTTATCTGCCCAAAAGCAAGTGCCTTACTCGCTGAACTATCTGTCCTGCCTGGAAATAAGTAATTTTGGAATGAGTTTTCACACACAGTTCCAAAGGCTATTTGTACCCTTACCTTCAGTCTCCACCTAAACGCTCATCTATAGGGGTTGTGGGGAGCCAGGAGATGGCAGAAGTCAGGAGCTCATGCAAGGAGCCTGGTCCAAACCCAGGTGCTGTGTGGCACCCTGAGCACCTCTGGGAGGCCCTGGTATCCATGACATGGCAGGGTCAAGCAGTGCTGCATCCTCAGTGAGTCGCTGGCCCAGTTGGTTGAGTGTCACCATGAGTGGCCGCGGGGCCTCCTGAGCTCTGCATAGGAAGGCCCATTACCCACCCCCACCCCAAATACCCATACCCCCCAGTGGTATTTATGGTCAATGGAATACTAGTCAGACAGGGTGGTTGCCAGAGAAAGGGAGGCACAATGGGCAAAGGGATCTTCCTGGGGGTGGGACAGCCCTGGAACTTTGGTAGCAGAAGTGTTGACAATTTCTCATCTATAGAGATGTGATGTTACCTTAAACCCCTGACATCTAATAATGACGCACAGATGTTCTAATGCCAAGTCATGAAAAAAAAATTAAAATGAGCTGCTAAGAAAATAAAGTGTGGTTCTCTTGAACTGATGCATTTTAGCACTGGGTTAGATCAGCAACAGAACGACCCTGACCCTGCGAAGTTTATCACTGAAACTGGAAGAGACACATGAATAATCTGATAGAATGAAGGGCACATGGTTAAGGGTGGCTGCTGGAGCCGATCCCTTAGGAAGGGCTCCTGACTGTGCCACATGTTATCTGTGAGAACCTGGGGACATCAGTGGTGGCACATCCCTGGTTTCCTGATCTGTAAACTGAGTCTACCCATCTTTCCAGGTGGGTGTGAGGGTTTCAAGAGTTAATAAACATGGGTCAGAGAGATAGTGCAGTGGAGAGGGTGCTTGCCTTCCATGTGGCTGACCCAGGGTTGATACTCAGCATCCCATAAGTTTTCCTGAGCCCTACTAGACCTCTGAGCCTCGCCAGGAGTGGCCCCAAACCTCTCAAAACCTCAGCACCCCCCCACCCAACCAATAGTTTATAAATGTGAGAGCTTAGAAGAGTGAATGGAACGGAGTGTTAACTCAGTGTTAGCTGTAATTTTTGCTATTCTTCCTGTTTAGAAGTATAAACCATGGAAAGAGATGTAAAGCCAGTGTGTCAGATGGCCATTAAATCTAAATTCTCACATTGTATTATGTGTGCTCTCTCCACCTTCCTGCCCACTTTCAGGTCACCACATTACCTTGTATTTGAGTCTTTGTTGGCACCTGTTACAGTGACTTCTCAATATGCTGTTGGAATCATCAAACTCCTACGTGGCATGACTTCTTCTTTTTTTTTTTTTAAAGCTTGGATTTTATTTATTTATTTTTGCTTTTTTTGGGTCAAACCCAGTGATACTCAGGGGTTACTCCTGGCTGTACACACTCAGGAATCACTCCTGGCGATGCTGGGCGGACCATATGGGATGCCCGGGATTGAACCCGGGTCAGCCACGTGCAAGGCAAATGCCCTACCCACTGAACTATCACTCCAGCCCCGTGGCATGACTTCTTGGTCTGCATTACGGCATAGATGGCATGCCCGATTATCACACCACCTTCCTCATCCTCCCTTGTCCTGAGTGGGGAACAGTATTTCTCCATATCTGGCTGACAGTGTGGAAGGTACTTGCCAAATCCTGGTTGATAAATGGAAGGTCCATCCTTTCAGACACAGCTTCCACTGGCACAGATGAAAGAGTGGCGAATGTCGTGTGTGGGACCAGGTCTGACTCTTCTTCACTGAAGGACAGATTCTCTCTGCTCATCCACTCTACTCAGACACTGTGCAGACTCCAGCAGCACACAGCCCACTCAGCGAAGGGTGGCCTGGCCACTTCTATCAAGCTTGTTGCTATTGTTGAATTTTTCAAAGTTTTGTACCATGCAATGATTTACAAGAAGTTGGGTGAGCACCTCCAGCCACGCAAACCTGGTGACTGGCACAGATCACAGATTACAGGGGTGACAGCGGGAACCCGGATGGCACCAATTTGACCCGTACTTATTTGTGTATATGAGTATGTTGTGTGAATACAATGCAATTTTCAAACTTTCTTTGCAAAAACTGGGGTGTGGGGGGGGGGGAAGGAAGTTGCCCAAGAGCTAGAGCTCTCTGATCATTGGCAAAGATGCTTGCCTGAAACTTAGTAACAAACAGACAAAGGAAAACAATGAATTGTGGTTACCAAAAAAAAAAAAAATTCAATCCTTATCCTTATGAGATAAGAGCCCAGAATTAATACCTTCTCCCAATAGTAAATATTATTTCTACCTCCCCCATTTCCAATCTTAGATCTCATGTCAGACAGTAAGCTTAAGGCCAAATGAACTGAGTGCCAACTCACCATCAGGTAAATGCTCTTAACTCATAGGCAATACAGTATTTATTTTTTCAGTGTTCTTTTTTTTTCAGGAACCATATGGGGTGTCAGGGACTGAACCCAGGTCAGCTGTGCACAAGACAAATGCCCTCCCCACTGTACTACTGCTCGGGGCCCCACATTTTCTTCAGCTTAAGCTATGATGTTGATGACTAGAAATCATTCACCCAAGAAGCCAAGCAATTTTTGTTTTGCCAATCTGAACAAACATTTCATAATTTTAATCCCCACATTTTCAATTAATACATGGACGCATCACATTCATCCATAAAGAGAGAGGAAGAAAGTAATTTCCTTAAGGGACACCTGGGAAAGCAAACTGTCACCTGGAAGTGTACATTCCAACATAACGCAACTCAATTATGAGAGCAATTTAAAGCTACCAGGAATGCAAGGGTAGCTGAGAATTGTTTCCTATTCCTTTTTTTTTTAATCAGTGTCTCATTTTGAAGACTAAAATTGTAGCTTTTCCTTCCAAGGTAAAACTGTAGCATTTGATAGGGTTTTAAGTATTAAGGTAGCTAACTTAACTTAATACGAAGTTAAGTATTAAGGTAGCTCACCAATCTCAGCCACAGTGGTACAACCAAGAAGGGGATTAACTTATAAAACAGATATGAAAGTTCAAAGGTTATTGTCTTTTTTACATTATCTAAAAAAAAAAAAAGAAAAGCACACTTTCTTTGCAAACAATGTCAGACAAAAAAAGAGCTATTCTGGGATCCCAATTTTAAAAAAATTTAGGCTGGAGAAAGAATACAGCAGGTAGGGTGCTTGCCTAGCATGCAGCTGGTGCCAGCTCAATTCCCAGCACCACACAGGCTGGCCACTCCTCACGCCCCCCCCCCCCCCCCCCCACACACACACACACCTCCAGCCAGTGCAGGGATCAGGAGTGATCCCTGAAGCACAGAGCCAGGAGTAATCCTCGAATACAAGTGGGTGTGGCCCCAAACGAAACCAAAACAAAAATTTTAGTATTGTTCTAAGAAGACCCGACTATCTATTAAAAAGATCTGTATTAATGCCTTTTTAAAATCATGAACAAAGAAAATAGATAATAAGACCCAGAGTTCCAGCCATATGAACATCATTTATTTTATCACATAACTGTATTTCTTTTGGACCACATCTGGTGGTGGTAGGAATGAAGAGTGGAGTTAAAGTGGAACATGGACACAGGTTGAATCCTTGGCATTTTGGTGGTAGTGGTACAATTTGTATAGCAAAAACATAATTGTTAACATTTGTGCAAACATGTGACCTGAACTATATTAATTTTTTTTTGCTTTTGGGCCACACCCAGCAATATTCAGGGGTTACTCCTGGCCCTGCCCTTTGTTTACCTTTCCTGGGATTTGTTAGTTTGAGGTCAACACCTGGGGGGCTCAGAGGATCTTATGTGGGCAAGGGACTGAACAGCTAAGCTATGTGCACGGCAAGTGCTCCATTCATTGTACTATTGCTCCAGCCCCTCTGTGTACCTTTTTAACAGAAGCATCATGGACACAATGATTCTGTGCTACGGCTACATCATGAAATATAACAGAACATTTTTGGAAAGAAAAACAGGCACAATAATTATGTGGTGGCCATGATTATGTAGTGAAATATGTGTTTGGAGCATGGACTGAGCAGATCTATAACTTTTGTTAAGAATACAGCGACATTTGGGGGGGGCAGTAAGGTAACTGGGGACACTGGTGGAGAGATGTGACCACTGGTTGGTGCTGGAACATTATACATCTCGAACTCAATCATGACTAACTTTGTAGCTCTGTAACTCACGGTGCTTCAATTAAAAAAAAATGAAAACCCATTAAACTTAAAATGTTAAAACAGGACTTTGCTATGAAAAGTAGCACTAGGTAAATGATCTTGTCATCTCCCTACTCACCCACTGTTCCCTCTCATATGCTAAAAGTGAGTGAGAAGGGGGGCTGGAGCGACAGTACAGTGGGTAGGGCATTTGCCTTGGATGTGGTCAACCAGGGTTTGATTCCCAGAATCCCATATGATTCCCCGAGCACCGCCAGGAGTAATTGCTGAGTGCAGACTAGGAGTAAACCCTGTGCGTTGCCGGGTGTGACCCAAAAAGCAAAAATAAATAAATAAATAAATAAATAAAATAAAATAAAAAGTGAGGAAACCAAGAAAATCATTTCATAGACACAGTAATGCCTCCTCCTTTGAAAGGGAGAAAAAAAAGGTCAAAGCCAAGTACATGTTGGTTTCTAAAACAGCCCTAAGCTTCTATATATGTTGTTGCTGTTTGCTTGTTTGTGTTTATGGTCCATATCTGGTGATGCTTAGGGTTTACTCCTGATTTTTACAGTTCAGGGATCAATTCTGGCAGGGTTCCAAGGACTGTAGGGAGTGTGGGATTGAACCTGGGGCAGTTGTATGCATGTAAGGCAAGCACCCTATCCACTGAACTATTGGTTCAGTCCCTTATTCTTGGTTTTATTATATAGAACAAAGTAAGTTGTCTTACAATAGGCACATAAACCCACAACTAAACAAAATATAGAGGAACAAGTTTGAAGAGGACTGCTTGATAAATGCTTATACTTCAGAGATCCAAAGAGCCTCTCACACCAATAATTTTACCTTGATTTGGCAACAAAGCATGCTTGCATTCAGGGAGAACTTGACCAAAATTACCAGTGGACATTTCGGTAGACTTGGGGGTTAATGAAATAGTAATGTGGCAAAGCATCCAACACGCAATTTTTTTTCTGTAGGGTTAAACGTCAAAATTCAGTAATTTGACATTAGAGTCAACCAGTCCAATTAACAAAGTCAGCTAGTTGGTAGATCCTGTAAAACCCTAATGTTTTTTAGAGAGATATAAAAATCAAATCATGATTGGACTGATTTTGTAATTTATGATCTAGTAGGCTAGAGCTGTAGAATTAATTCAAGAATTGTACATTACCAAGTACATAAAGATAAAGATGTTGGATTTAAATGTTATTCTTGCATAAGTTTACTTACCGCCATATAAGCATTTGTTCCAACATACGTCTTGGCTATGGAATTCACCAGCTATGAGACAAAACAGTCTGTTACAACAATATAAAGATAATGTGGAAATAAAATGGGCAATTATTCCTCATTTAACCTACAATCATCATTTCTATAAATCAACTAAAAATTATGTAAAAAGGGAACGAATTTATCTACAAAGGCATTAAAAATGATTAAATCTCTCTTTTCTTTTTGAATGCGATTTCCAATTTAAACAAGCACAGCATTATAGTTTACAGCAGATAACCTTAAACAATTCACTTAAGCAGGATGCAAGTTGCTTTAGTACCCCAAACCCGCCTGAAATAAAAAAGTCAATTTGAAGAAGAATCTGAACGCTCTGGCGTTCACAGCCTGACGGCTTGAGATGGGAACGAGGCCACTTGCGTTACGTGACTGAAACGAACAGTAAAGACGCTGGGTGGATAACAGGCTCTGACAACTCATAATACAAAGATGACCTTCGCTTTGGTCCTCGTGTTTGGCTGGGAGTAAAGGTGGCTGCAATTCAAATCAACATCACGGCACACTCATGGGTCACTATCACTGGGGTTCTCAGGGGAGGCCCAAAATGGAAATTAATTAAAATTTGTGCTGCACATTGTAATGGCCTTCCACCATTGTTGCTCCCAATATTAATTTTTATTGTGGGCCAGTTGGGTTCCCCAGGCACAGTTCCCACTCTGCCCTCCCTCTTTTGTCTGGCCCAAACGCTTTCCTATCAAAGCTGCATATCAATGAAGTTTGCTATTCGTAAGTAGTAATTACAATATCAGCAGTTTTTACTGTCATTAAACAATGAACAATCATATTCTGATGAAGGAACCAGGCTTGGAGATTAAAAAATGAATAACACACTCCCCACCAAGGAGAAGATGCAGGGTTCTGTTTGGTGATTTTTCAATCCAGGGAGGAGACTGAAAAGAAAAGGGGAACGGAGGAGGTCAGGCTGGAAAGAACGGAGCCTTACCTGAGTGCTGACTCCGAAATCACACAGTTTGACCTGTCCCCGGGTGTTCACGAGCATATTGGAGGGTTTCACATCTGAAAAGAAATCAGAGTCCCGGGGTTACTGATTCCACATCTACCGCCTTGTTCCAGAAAGAAAAAGGCGCCTGCACACCGTACCATACTGCAGAAATGACATCAGCTGTTCACCAAGAATTCTAATTACACATTTACTGCAAAGTATTTTATCGGGAGGCAAAAAGGGAAAGTATTATCGCCTTGACTTTCAACCATTTCTGGGCTTTGAGTTAAGCAAGAGTGTATTCGAAAGGAAAGTCAGAGAAAATCCTGTTTCCAACAACAGTGAACACAGCGAAGCTGGCAGAGAAAAGGAAATCCTTCAATGGGCTTAAGCTTGATGCCCAATGTGAAAAGTCTATCAAGTCACTCACTGCCTCAAAGAAGCAAGAAGGGGACAGGGGAGGAAGAAAAGAAAAATATTATCTGTATGTTGCCAGTAACAGGTTGTATCTGGGTGACACAGTAAGAAATGATATGAACTCTTGCCATCCCCCAGTTTGACAAATATTACTTCAGATGAGGCTCAGCAATTGATCTCAAATGCGCGTGTGGATGCACACACACAACTATTAGTCTCAGTCTCTTCATCCTTCTTTTCCCTGACATTATTTTTGACAACTGTTACAGTTAACAGGAGAACTGGCCTAGCTTTTGCCAAGACAGACAGCTGATAAATAATGACCAACGGGTTTCTCTGATGCACCATCGGTGACAATAAGACTTTTCAGAAATTTAAGAAACCACCAGAGCAGAACAAGATAGCACTTTTTGGCGGTTTGTTTATAGGTCACACCCAGCGGTATTCAGGACTCACACCTGGCTCTGTGCTCAGGTGAGGCTGTGTGTGTATGTGGGAGGGGGGGGCATATGGGGTGTTGGGGATTGAACTCAAACCACTGTACCCAAGATGGCACTATGTTTGATGCTAGGAAAAAGCACCTGCGTCAACATTTCACCTTTTTTTTTTTCCCAACATTTCACTTTCAATAGCAAAAGTGATCTGGAACGGATAACTTGCTATATTTATATTGCCAATAATTTTAATTACCCCCAAACTGATAGAGGCTCATAATTTCTATGGGAATTTTTGGTGTTGTTGTTTCTGGTTTTTGGTACATGTCGAGAGGTACTAAGGGGCCACTGTTGGCTCTATGCTTGTGTGTCACTCCCGGCAGTGAGGAAGGGATCAAACCTATAGCTCTGGTGCTGAGACTCATACTTTTATTGTTTGTTTTTGAGCCACATCCAGCAATGCTCAGGGATCACTCCTGTGGTGCTCAGAGGACCAGATGTGGTACTGGGGATCAAGTTCAGCTCAGCCACGTACAAGGTAGGCACCCTACCTGCTGTATTATCACTCTGGCCCCTAAGACTCATGTTTTTTGATGTGATATTCAATGCTTACTAAAGGCTGGATGAGTTGAAGAGACAATAAATAGATGAAAATTATTCCATGTGGGCGATTCTGCTCCCATGGTCAGGAGTCAGCTGTGAGTTTGCTTCTGTGGCATGTCTGCATACAAGACTTTTTCTGTGAATACAAGTTGGTACAATAAAGCAGGTAAAAGCTTCCTTATCAACTTTATCTGCCTCCAATTTCCCCATTTTTAGTATAAATCATGTACTGTCACTGTCCTCCTGTTCATCGATTTTGCTTGAGCGGGCCCGGTAACTTCTCCATTTTGAGACTTGTTGTTACTGTGTTTGGGATATTGAATATGTCACGGGTAGTTTGCCAGGCTTTGCCGTGTGGGCGAGATACTCTCTGTAGCTTGCCGGGCTCTCCGAGAGGGGTGAAGGAATTGAACCTGGCTCGGCCGGGCTGGCTGCGCGCAAAGCAAATGCCCTACCACTGTGCTATGCTTTCAGACTGGATTCTGACAATTTTTCAACTTCTGACAATTCTTCAAATTCTGACAATTCCCCTTTCCTGAAGTCACGAGACAGGCCATCCAGGTTTTCTCTGACCTGCTAAAGCAGCTGCTTGTATCACTTGTTGTAAAGGAGACTCTGATAGTCTGGAGCAGTTATGGACCAATTTCACTGCCCTAGGATCACCACCGCAACTAGTGCATTACAGGAGAGGAATATGCTTTGTACATCTCAGTGTATAGTTCTTCGGAGCACAGAATCTTAATCTTGCCCATTGGCAGATGTTTTTTTTTTTTTTAATGCTATATTAAATTTGCTCATGTTAAATGATCTTCTTCCCCAGAAATACCCTGAGTTATCATTTGCATATACCAAGGGCTGTTATACAAAATCAACAGACTCAGGGAAAGGGACTTTAGTGCCCTGGATTAGTTTTAAGATTTTTGCACCAGCCACAAACTTGGAATGTAACTTTGGACTGGGCAAGTGATGTTTTAGTTTCTGTCTGTGGAGGGAGATAACTGGAGCCCCTGCCACGTCGATCTAAAAGAACAATGAAGAGAGATGGGATAAATGAATGGAAAATCACGTTTCAAACTGTCACACGCTCCCTAAATGCAGGTAGTTATTACTATGCATTGGTAATCAACCAAGCTGCGAGAAGTGGTCTAATGCAGGCAGTGATTTCTACAGTTGCTGCAACATATTGAAGCTGGATTTGAGTAAACACTTGCTGAAAGAAAATAATTTCCAGAGCCCACTAAGTCAAACCATAAACTAATGTAATGTTTATCAGGAGACATTTTTGCTGTGCCAAATGTACTCATTCCTCAACGAGGCGACGGGACCAGTCTCTCTCTAGTTCTATACTTTTATACTGACAGGACTGGTGTTAAACACAGTAGTTAAAGTGATCTTTGCACAACAACATAAACCAGGGTGGGACCTGGTCGAGCCTGTGACTTCTGTCTTCTGAGTGCTCTGCTCCTGGTGCTCTCTCAGGCAACAGCCATGCACGCAAGCTGCACAATCTAGCTCACCATCCCTGATGAACACTGCAACATGCGTGCCTGACCTCCAGCCACTGCAGCAGAAACAGCCACAAAACTGCAACCAGCTCCCCAGAAGAGCTCAGCGCTGGAGGGTAGCCTTGCAAATGTAGAGGGCTGGGGAGGCCTGAGTTTGCCCCCACTGAGAGAGCTCCCCAAGTGGTTGGGCTCCCGGGGACCGACCCCCCTGTGCTACCACCACTGCTGGGCTGTGGTGCGGTGTCACTAAGTGTGTGTGAGTGGCGAAGCTGGGCTGTGCAATGAGGCCTCACCCTGGAAACCACAGAAAAAGGGGGGATGACAAGGAAAATCAGAGCAAATAGGGGACAACCAAGTTAAAATAAAGAATAAGAGCTGAGACATAGAACAGCGGGTTGAGGCGTTTGCCTCGCACACAACAAACAAGGGCCTGATCCCCAGTGCTACATATATTTCTCCACTTTGGTAGGATTCTGTAAGCTTTCAGAATTATTTATAGATTCCCAGAAACCGACCCCAATTATTTAGCTTAGAGTTGCCCAGAAATCTACCCCGAAGTTTTTATTTATTTATTTCTGGTTTAGTATGTAAGATTTCATCCTCTAAATGCACAGGCCAAAAACTCAAGCAGACTGCTATACAATTCCTTGAGCAATTTCTCAGAATGGTTCCTGACTCTGTTGGAGTCTACCCAAACGGTAGCCAGTTGGCCTATCTTTTTTTTTCTTTTTAAATTTTTTATTAGTGAATCACTGTGAGGTACAGTTACAGACTTACAAACTTTCGTGCTTGCGTTTCAGTCATACAATGATCCAGTATCCATCCCTCCACCAGTGCCCATTTCCCACCACCAATGGTCCCAGCATAACCTTCCGCCCCATCCCCTCCACCCCACCCTTCCTCTGTGGCAGGGCATTTCCTTTTGCTCTCTCTCTCTCCTTTTGGGTGTTGTGGTTTGCAATCGAGGTATTAAGTAGGCCTATCTTTTTAAAAAAATTAATTTATTTAAAATTTATTTTTTTATAAAGTTGTTCACAATATTTGGTTACATTTAATATTCAAACACCAATCCCACCACCATTACACCTTCCCACCACCATATTTCCATCCCAAATTCCAAATCCTGCCCCCAAAGCAGAACTGAGATCATTTATTTTGTATTGCTTGTTATGAATAACACACTAAAAATCCAAAAAAGGTTTTTTAGAGAAAGTGTGAAGATTTGTGTATTTCACCCAGAAGCCATTAAGCCCTTCTATGAGATTAGTAACATGTTGTTAAAAGTTGAGCCTTGTGTGCTTTGTTCTACATAAATATATATAAATATATATGGTGTGTGTGTGCGCAGTGCTCAGAGCTTACTTCTGGCTTTGTGCTCAGGGATTCTCTCCTGGCAGGTTTGGGGGATACTATGGGGTGCTGGGAACTGAACTTGGGTTAGCCTTGTAAAAGGCAAATGCTCTACCTGCTGTTTTATTGCTGACAATTTTTTTTTTTGTCGCAGACAAAATCTCTTTAAATGTTGGTATGAGGATGACTTCTTTCATTAGGTTGCGCTTTATCTGAGTGATAGTGAAATCTACCTGATATCTCAGGTATCAACAATCCTGAACTTGCTACTTCTACGTTTCCATTTTAAAGCATGCAAATTCTATCACTGCTACTAGCTCCAGAAATATTGAAATGATTTATTTGATTTGATTTTTTTCCCAGTTTGTTTTCAACTACACTCCAAGCCATAGACAGCAGCACAACTGATTAGGCAGAAAGAAGGTGGTTTTATCTATGCTTATTTTTACGCAACCTCAAGTTATAGAAAACAAACAGCAATTGAATACAGCAGATAGCTTGTCATTCGGCTCACTTAAAAACACCAGAGTGTTTTCTTCTGTAAGCAAAGCACAGAAAAAGATGAGTCGTTAGAATGACTGATTACAAATGGCGATCATCAGGGCAGATGTAAGTCATTTTGGCTTAATCAGGTCATTAATTATTAGGGTTTATCAATTAGTTTTATTGAAGGCAAGGGAGCTTAAATGAATAGTAAGGCATTGATTTGAACTGCAACATTTTCTCAAAGAAAATACAAATGCGGCACAGAGAATCCAGGGGTTT